AAAAAATAAAAATAAAAATTAAGTGAGCTATGTATATGAAACACTTAGGACTTGAGTTTCAATTTTTGGATGCCTGTTGTGGGTTGGCCTCTGTTCTTGGGTATAGGGTTACAAATCCTGTGTCACGGTTGAGTCAGATGGTAAGTTCTAAAACACTAATTCAGAGAATGCGATCTACTGTGGGAGTGTGGGGCCGAGTTTGGCTAGGTAAATGAGCCTGAACACCTATCTTAATATGAGAAGATTCATTGGTCTCAATATAAGTGCTTTGGACATGTCAGGAGAGACTACGCCATGGAGAAGGGCATCCTGCTGGGTCAAGTGGAGGGCAGTGAAAAGGAGCAAGGCCCTCCACACAGTGGACGGACACCGTGGCGCAACGGGCTCAGGCACAGGACAGTTGGGAGGCCGGCGCAGGACCGGGCAGTGTTTCCTTCTGATGTGCACGGGGTCGCTATGGGTCGGAACCAACTCAACAGCACCTCACCACGACATTGGCAGCATGTCTTGAAGTCCCTTGAAACCATGCTAAGGAAGGACTGCGCTAGATTTAGATGCGGTCCATCCCCGTGAGGGAATTACGATACAAATGGAAGCGAAGAAACATGTGAAAACCATTTTGAACACGGACTATCGAGTAAATAGAGTTAGAAAAGCAGTATTGGATAACGACGTCCCTGCAGTTAATCTGCCAGACTGGGAAGGCAGGACATCTGCTGAGAGGTAGCAAGTAATTATTGTTACCACTTAACAATTCTGTAGGAATTTTAAGAATGAGCTCAGGGTGGGTTGGGATTCTCAGATAAGTTTACACTGAGAAGATGGAACGTATCAAACTCTTGGGGGAAAAGTAGCTCATTTTAATAAGTTTATTTGGCCTTTAAAAAAAAACTAGCAATAATACATGCTTCTTATAAAAAGACATTTTTTAAGTATACAAGTTTACAAAGTAAAAGCCTTTTAGCATGTTTCATAAATTATATTTATATTAATGTATTGAACACCTATGGAACCCTGGTAATATCGTGGTTATACATTGGGCTGGCGATCATAAGGTCAGCAGTTTGAAACCACCAGCAGCTCTGCAGGAGAAAGATGAGGCTTTCTGCAAAAAGTGAGAGTTTTGGAAACCCACAGGGACATTTCTAGCCTGTCCTGTTTGGTCACTATGAGAAATTGAACCACCTACATGTTAGAGACATTGTCCTAAGTGCTGTAAATGGTGAAGAAAGTAGTCACAAGCCCATGCTTCCCTTGAACTTATATTCTGGTGGGGAGAATACGATGCAAATAACTAAAATAGATCATGTGTTAATTATACTGAATGACATAGTTACATGGAGAGACATGTACAGGCAAACATTTCTTAGTGTCCACCAGAGATTCAGGAATGAGAGTAAGTGCTTGTGGGATGGGCGGGGTAGGGGTGGGGCGGGTAGTGGCAAGTACTGTGTTAATGGCGGTGGAATAGCACCTTTGTGATTACAACCTAACCTCCCTAGCTTAGAATTCTTAATCACATCTGCAAAGTCCCTTTTGTTCTGTAAGGCAAAATTATACCCAGCTTCTGGGAATTTGGACAGAGCCCTGGTGCCGTAGTGGGTTACACGTTGGGCTGCAACCACAAGGTGGACAGTTTAGATCCACCTCCTGCTCTGCAGAAGAAAAATGAGTCTCTCTACTCCCATAAAGAATTAGTCTTGGGTACCCTCAGGGCTTGTCCTACCCTGTCCTATAGGGTCACTTGGAATCAGAATTCCCTTGATGGCAATGAGTTTGCTTTCTGGCATTCCCAGCTTAGACTGGAGTAATGTAAACCACCTTGGGAACGTTGGAGCCGTTTTCCCAGTGAGGTGAGTTTAAAGATCAACCAAAGGAAAGAAATGACTCCCGAAAAAGGAGCGGATGGTTCCTTGTCCTTGCATATCTGATGCCGTGAAGGACTTTCGGGTGGGTGGCATGTAAATGAGAAAGGTACCCCCAAAGCACGTGCTGATCCTTTCCAGGAAGGCCTGCGGCAGTGGCAGGAGAAGCAGGAGAGGAAGGTGCGAGCGCTCTCCGAGATGGCCTCCGAACAGCTGAAGAGGTTCGATGAACAGAAGGAGTTGAAGCAGCATAAAGAATTCAAGGACCTACAGGAAGTCATGGAGAAAAGGTGAGTCTGTGCGTTAGGATGAGGGTGTTGGTGTGGTCAATTGAAACTCGTTCCCTCGCTGCTTCTAAGCGCTTCCGGAAATGCTTATCGAGACCAGTGACCATCCTTGGGAAAGCGGCCCGTGTGCAACAAGGAGCGAGAGCCTGTTAGGAGAGGAAAGAATTTTAGGAAGCATGTCTGACTATTCCTCCTGTTTTTCATTCAGTACCAGAGAAGCTCTGGGACACCAGGAGAAGCTAAAAGCTGAGCATCGGCACAGAGCAAAGGTCAGCCTGGGAGGATCAGTGTGGGTCAGTTTGTTGCCTGTTTATAACCTGCCGGAAGAGTCCAGTTCTGGCAAACGGTCATCGTGGAGGACTTGACTCTCTTAAGTCTCTTTGCCCATGCCTCGGGAGTCCTTTTCCGGCCCTGGGCCCATCTGCTTGTTTGAAACTCTCTAGCCTACAGAGGGCTTGAAGAATGTAGACGGCGAAAGCCCAGGAGCCCGTTGGAAGAGTAACTTAATGGCCCTTTCTGTAGATTCTGAACCTGAAACTTCGAGAGGCAGAGCAACAGCGCCTGAAGCAGGTGGAGCTGGAGCGGCTTCGGAAGGAGGAGGGCCGGGTCCGCCTGCGTCGCCTCTATGCGCTGCAGGAGGAGATGCTGCACCTCAACCAGCAGCTAGACTCCTCTGATACGCAGACGGACCTGCTCGAGACAGACCTGTGTGCGTGCCGGGCCCGAGGCAACCAGCTCTGCAGCCTCATCTCAGAGATCGTTCGGGCCTCTTCCGAGGTGAGGGGCTTCACACCAACTCTTGGTCTTTGCAGCGGAAAGTGTGATTCTCTGATTTAAAAATAATACGTGCTCATTGTAGAAAATGCTAGAAAGGAGGCCTGTTCCTATTTTGGTTTGTTTCTTACATGGTGCTGTGGATGTTTGTGACCCACAGCAAATTGCACTTAGGTAGAGTATGTCACATCTTGGGTTAGCCAATACCTTTCTTCTGATCACAGCAATGTCCCTCCTATACTTTTCCTTTTAAAGATTCTCCTGAGCCCTTAGCAGCCGTGACCGATGGTTGGTTATATGAGGGGAAGGAGAAACGTATATGGTGATTTTCAGTTAACATTGTATTTTGGACATGTAATTACTGTAGTTGTTAAAATCATAGTTTTTATGGTTTTTTTAATCATTTTATT